GTAAAAGACTTTTGTAAGTATATCAACTTGTAGTTAAATAAACGGTACGGTGGCTTGGCTGGCCAACACGCCCAGATATCAACTATTTGTGTGCGCATTTCAGTAGTGGAGGCAAATAGTATACGGCCTTGAGGGCCACGCTCAACCAGTGTGCTTTGTGCGCCATTCTTATTGTTATTACCCGGGAACTCGATACTTTTTCTCACACACAGAACGGAAACGGCTAAGAATACCACAACGGCGGTAGCTTTTGCTAATATTTTCAAGGCAAAAATACAAATAGCGTTTTATCACCCAGAGCAAAATTAAATCCCTATGGTGGAGGAAATATATTAACGACGTTTTCTGTCTGTGGGGCAGAAGCAAACTAGGTGAATAATCTAGGAACTCGATGCTTTTTCCCACAAACTGATCGGAAACGGCAAAGAACACCACAGCGGAAGTGGCTTTTTGTCAATATTTTCATGGCAAAATAGAAAAAGGGTGTTATCACCCAGAGCACAATTAAACGCTACTATTGACTGCTGACGTTTTCCGTCTGTGCAACAGAACCAAAGACAAAATAGGAGAACTTGTATGACGGGCAAACAGCTACATTCTGTCAAGAGATTATATCTTTTTGATTTTGTACATGTACCACGATACATTTACTATTCACGGCTGAAATATCAGACTCAGAAATCATATTCTTGGACGAAAAAGTGTGCGAAAGCGAGAAGTTTAACGGGGAATCGGCCCCTTACTTCCAAACGCATCACATAGAGACGAAGACCTTCGAATATTTGAATTTCATTCGTGTCATTCATCAGGCGCGAAAAAATGATTCGTAAAAGGAGAACCGCTACGCCTTCTATAAATAAATTCAACAGTCGCTCCGGATCCACCTTTAATAAAAACTCACAATGTTTCAAAATATGCATAAAGAATAGGGGATATCAAGATGAAATTTAGGACAAATGTATCTCTGAATTTGTCTCACCGTGAGTGGAAGGTTACTCAAAAATCTTGCATAGGCTTGAGGCTAGATCGATCATAAACGTTGCCCCGAGAGGAGCTTTTTATTTGCCTTTCGACCGAAATGCTGTGTAGTAGGGCTTCTGCAAACTCCGTATGCTCGTTTTCTTGCCAAATCCTAAATCTGTATTTCGCTCACTCCATGCTTTTGAATTGATTTAGTCGGCCATGTAATACGGCGGCTTTTCGTTGTGCGGGACGATCTCTTTTTGATGGCTTCATTACAGCGAACGCGGAATGAAATGTCAAAAATACGTAGCAAATAGACGACAGACACATGGAGAAACCTACCCTGGCTCCAGAGGTTTCTCTTTTTTTTTCTCCTTTTTCTCCCTGTTTCTCGCTCGCAACTCCGAGAAAAAGAGACGCTGCTACGCAGCTCGGCCAATCTCGCTGCTTCGCAGCCCGAAAGGATTGTAAACAGGGAGAAAAAGAGAAACCTCTGGAGCCAGGGTAGGAGAAACCGGATGAGGTATAAAAAGCCGGTTCTCGATTAAGATAGCGAAGATTTAATCGAATAATATTACACGCACGGTAGGCTTTCCTTTTCTGTAATACAGAAAATACTGAAAAAAGCCACCACTCTTGCAATGCATCCTGACTGAACGCAAGCCTGTAAGAGGTCTGCAAAGAGCCTTTCACGGCCAAGGGGTTGTAAGATATTTCAGTTACAGTTACACAGTGGGGTCTGGGTTTGGGATTAGGGTCGTAAACAATTCCTCATCATTAGCGCCAGACCCCCTGTAAACTTCTCCCCGAGTCGTCTCAAATCTTTTTGCGAAAGGAGAACCGTAGCGATAATTACCAAATAGAGAAGCATTGACTGTCGTCTGTTAGGGGGGGCTCCCGGTTCTGTTCTGTTGTAAAGCACTAAGGAATGAACGACAGCCAAATTCACAGGAACATGAACTGAGATTGCTCGGGATGGCAGCGCCGTAAAACTAAGCTGCAGTGACTGATGTGGCCTTCCAGTAAACGCATCAGAAAGGATATCAGAGAAAGCTCCTAGTTGCTAGCTACGTGAAAGTAACCCGTTTCGCGTTTGCCGTATACGTAAGATTTTCTTCACTTTTTCTCTCACAGAGAAGTTAATTGCCGGAAGAAGAACACCAAAACTATTCATTATCCGGTCTAATAATATGCATGAAAACATTTCTCAGTTCTGATTGGTTAAGATGAATGCAGTTTTCAGTTAATTCAGTGCAGAAGAGAGTTAAGTCAGTGTAGAAGAGGGTCAATTCAGTGAAAAGAAAGAAACAAACCAGACATTCTGATTGGTTAGAATGATTGGTGAATGTCGGTGTCAAGGTCAATGTCAAGGTCAAGGTCATTTGCAGGGTTTTAATAAATTAGTTAGCACCTGGTTTTCTTCTGCGTAGTTATGAGAGGCTACCTCGCATTTTTTCATGTATATTATTTATAGATAATCACATGATTTTCTCGTGAAATTTGGAATAAACAAGCACTTGTAAATTTTTTAAAGACCACAAATTGCACTCGCCCTAAGGGCTAATGCAATTTTGTTAGTCTTTGAAAAAATTCACTCGTGCTTATTTATTCCAAATTGCACTCGAAATCATGTGAATACCTATACAAACAAGAGCGCCTTCAAATCCCCCATGACGTGAGCCCACGCGAAGTTAATTAAAGCAGCAAGGTTCACGCCATTGCGTGAAATGGAAAGGGCAGGCTGATGTCTGCCGTTTTACGTAAACGCGGTGCTAAATCTCCCTAATATTTCGTTTGTCGCGAAATAAAATTGAGACCTTTAATGGGAAAAATCCTAGCCCTGCCACTTGGGCGGATTGAAACTTGCCGTGAAAAAATAAATGATTTTACAAGATTTTCATGCGTTTTGCACATGCCTTTTTACATGGCAAGCTTTTAAACATATGTATACACACGTGTAAAACAATTAAAAGAATCGTATGAAGACTGTACTTAGATTTTTGATACCTTCTACGGACATGATTACACGCAGATATGTGTCTCGGGGAATTACCATTGTTCGAAAAAAGTCTAGAATGTATGAAATATAATTTTATAACATAACCAAAGTAAAGCGCGCGCTCTGATTGGTCAATTTAGCGTCCCCCATTTGCCCATGGGTGTACGCTGCTGACGTGAGCAAATGCAAAGACTATTTTTCCGCGCGCGCTTGTTTTTTCTGGTCACGTAAGATTTGTTAAATAAAAGGGAACTCTTTAGCTACAATGTATCAATGTTATGTTATAAAACAAATGGTAAACACCACAGCGTACACTATTGAGTTATGGATGCACTTGGGAGGTTTGCTAAGCACTCAAGAAGCTAGAGTCGCTCTCGGCTATCGCCTCGAGCGACTCTTACGCTTCTTTCGTGCTTAGCAACCTCCCGCGTGCATCCATAACTCAATAGTGTACGCTGTGGTGTTTACCATTTGTTAAATTTTGCAAGTTTTGCCTTTGTTGTGCTTCTTTTATATTTTTGGCGGGAGTATTGGCGCGCGGCTTTTCTTGTCCCAAGCCTACCCGGATGTGCCCGTGGTGAGACATGCGCACTCTGTGTTGACAGCTTGACAAATTACGCAATAAATATGGAGGTGTGACAGAAAAACTTACATACCTACAAATTCGTGCCATCTAGGGATGAGAAGAGAAAAGTTGGTAGAGCGTAGTTACGTAGGAAATGAAGATAACGACCAAGAAACTCAAACTGAAGATGCTAATTATTGGGATTTCCTCGCCATGGATGGAGAGTTCACAAGGTCGAGGGATTTCTGGATCAAGGTAAAGGGGCAAAATGACTTTCACCTTTCAAAAGTATCGATCAGAATTGGCTTTAAATTATTTGCAATCATAGGCGTTTTGTAACCATCAAGTAATGAAGGAATTGTTTTTATACTTCGAACAAAACAGAGGATCAGGTAAAGTGAGCATGATTCTGAAATACGCCAAGAGAGACACTCGTATATACGTACAGGTAAAAAAGGCAGCATACATTTGATAATGTACAATCATTAATATGAAGGTTCATGAAAAGCAAAGAGTAGGATTGTCATGGAACAGAGCAATGAATGAGGTGCGAGTTGAAAGACTGATTCAGAACTACAAGCAGTGCGGGGAACATGACAATGACGATCCAGCTCTTGTGATGTTAAAACAGTGGCCAGTATCCAAACACTTCAAAGATAATCCTGAGAAACTTCCAGGCCTTGAAAAGCTGGTATGTTAACACTGTGTTCATTGATTGCTGTACCATGTTAAGGAGAGAAAGAAAATAATGAACCAAAATTTTTTGCAAATTTGTAGTGCGCGCCTTTTTTTTAATGAAAATGAAGTTGTCGAGAATTATCATGCTGTCATGTGTTTTGCAGATAAATCAAGTGCTGGATCTTCTTTTGGAAAGTGAACTGAATTCCAACAATAGGTATGAGTCATTTATAGATAAAGAAGAAAAAACAGAGAAGACATTACTACACTGTGCTGCAGAACTTGGATTTTTACATGTTACCAAGACACTTGTGAAGAAATATCCTTCACTGATAGCTGTATTTTCAAAAAGTGAACTAAAACCTAAGAAGAGAGCCATGTTACCAGTTGAGTTTGCATTAATGGAAGAGAGTGATGAGGTGGCCGCATATTTGATCAGGATTATGCAACATGAAAGGTACATGATTGTGTGCAATGTTTATTATTGTTTATTGAAAGTTTGATAATTAAGATATAAGTGCTATTTTCATTAGTCACTTTCTGGAATTCCTGTTAAAAAATGGTCAGTCAATGAGGCAATCTGCATGTTTCATATTTTCACATCAAAATTAGAGTCATATAAATTGATGGGTCCTAATGTGATCTTTTTAAACATTTCATGTTGCTGCAGTTGTTCACATATTGTGATTGATGGTACTAACATTGGTTTAATTTTGTCCTTTCAATTTTTCCCCCTCCTATTTGTTACAATCCTTCTTAAAAAGTGTCAAGTGGTTATTTTCTTGGAGACCAATCAATATCAACAGTCCCCAGCCATCCCTCTTCAGTTTCAATGCCATTATTAACAATCCTAAAATGAAGGTGAGGATTTTGTTACAAAGTTGATTTGCTAGAAAATGTAGGACCTTAGAAACAATTAGGGTGGAAATTGCTAAACCTGTAATTTGCTTATCTATAACTTGTCAACCACTATTAGCCCTTTAACTCCCAGAATTGATTAACATGTAACTTCCCACTACAATATCAATACGTAAAATGTCCAACAAACAGGTAAATTTAACCACAGTGACTTGAGATTAAAAATATCTCACATGACAGTGGCAAAGGGGGGGCTCCAATCACACATCATGCATAATCTTTCTATTAAATCATACATCATGGAGAATTCTTTTACCCAATTGTGCCTCATATAAAAAAATGCCAAGCTAATACTGTGAGATTTCAACCTACTGCATGTATTATTTAATTTATTATTTAACGACGATAACCAAGTTGCATCACCTCGGTTTTTCAAAGTATGTCCTTGAATGGCTGGCTAATTACCTATGCGGCAGGAGACATTACGTTCAAATTGATGATCGCAAATTGTCACCTGTGCTCTCCGAATTTGGAATCCCCCAAGGCTCAATCCTTGGACCGATGTTGTTCAATCTCTACGTCGTGGATCTTCAAGATATTCTTCCACCTACAGTCAAAAGGTTGCAATATGCCGACGATACAACATTATACACTAGCTGTTCTACACCGCAGATCACATCTCAAGCGGAAAGCATGAATGCAACCCTGGCAGGCCTCGGCGCCTGGTCAAATGATTCAAACTTGGCTCTAAATTCTAAGAAAACCAAGGCCATTCTTATCTCAACTCCACAGATGGCTCATGTTCACTCTCTCGGAAATCTGGAGTTGGGATTAGAAATCTCCGGTAAACCACTGGAATGTATAAATGTTACAAAACTCCTGGGAGTACACATTGACTCAAATCTTAAATGGGAATTTCATACCAATTTTATTCTTAAATCCTGTTATGCTACTCTGAGAACCTTAAGAAAAATAAGGAACTTTACTAATTTTAAACTACGGAAACATTTGGTAGAAACATTAATTTTGTCTAAAATAAGCTACTGTGACATTGTTTTTTATCCACTACCAAAGTTCCTCTCAGCTAGACTACAAAGGCTCCAGTTTGCTATGGCTAGTTTCATCACTTGTAAATATGTAAACAGTATATCTACCATTTTGGATCTTGGCTGGCTACCTATCCTGGAGCTAAGGGACTACTCACTACTAAAGACTATTTTTAAAGCACTGTATTCTGTAACTGGCCCTCCCATTTAAATTTGCAAGTCGTTAAACCTGTTAGGCATCTCCGTTCCAGTGTTGCTCCAAGGCTTTATGTTCCATTTGTACAGGGCACCTTTCAGCATTCAGCAGCCATGATTTTTAACGAATTGCCAGCAAATATAAGGAATTGCACAGATTTTAAAGAATACTGCAGGGTCTGCAAGGCATTCTTGAAGGCGCACACTTTGTCTTCCTTGTAAAAATATAGAAACAACCACCACCACCAACCAATATAATCTGCATATTTACTTTCATGTATAGTTTTTATTACAATTTAGTTAGTCATTATAAATTAGTTTTAATATTAAATTTTAGTATCGTAGGCCTTCACAGATGAAGAGCCACACCTTTTTATGTGGATATACTGTGAATAAACCGTTATTATTATTATTATTATTATATTGCATCCGACATCTTTTATTCTGGAGTGAATTGTATTTCACTTGTCATATTGCTTTTTGTCAGACAAATAGAGACTACTTACTTGTTGAAACTAGAGGCGGCTAGAACATTTACTAAGGCTTCCAATCACAATATACCCTGTTGGTCAGAGGGAGAGGACAGCTGACATTCAGACTACCTTCTATGTCAAAGAGCAATCACTTGCGTCGGAAATCTAATTAGTAAGACCTGCAAATCACACGTCACCCGCTTGTACTCTAACAAATCACCCATCAGGTTGTGATGTGCAGTCCCCCATCACGCAGATGATTTGGGTTCAATTGTGCATCATGCAGCAAATTTTGTGACTATCATGCATCATGCAAAAACCCTTTGCCACCCTCCTACATGTACATAAAATGAAAATGTTTTTTGATAATTTTTCAACAAGCATATTAATTTACACAGTTTTTGATGGTGTATATCCTGCTCACAGAAAACAACTGTGGCTGTGTTAGACCAGATGATGAATCCTCATTGGCCATATCTTCCAAAACGCAAGGAAAGGTATATAACCCAAGAGGAAAAGGATGGAATTGAAGGAGTATGGAACACCATTTCAGAAGATCCTTTGAACTTCTATTTTTACTTTCTTATCTTGGATGGTGATGAATGTGGGCGACCACCAAAATCAGGAGAACACAGGGAGTCAAACAACAAATATTTCAACTGGAGAGATAAATCATGTTTAAACTGCATTGCAAAGAGCAGTAACAAGGTACATATTGTAGAAATCGTTCCCACTGTTTTGTAACTAAGTTAATCAGTGACATTGGACACTGCGTTTTGTTCGACATATTCTTGTTTAACTGGTTTGATCACGTACGTTTTTGTTTATAATCTGATTTCGTTATAAGAGATCAATGACTTTCAATCAAGCGAATTGATGTATGAGTGATTACTACAAAATAAAACAAGGTTAACGCAGTTTCGAATACGATTATTAAACATATTATTAAAGTTAGTGCATATGAAGTTTTTCCTTTTGCTTTTGGATGAATAATCAGACTCAAATGAGACTCAGTTTTACCAATTAAAGCGAAAAATTTTAAGCCCTCAAATTTTGCTTGACTTTGAATTGCAGGAGGCCCTACAACATCCAGTGGTCCGAATGTTGATTAAGACAAAATGGAAGAGTTATGGACATTTTTTCCTTTGGTAAATAATTTTAACCTTTCTGAATATGTTTGTAAGGTTAGTCATTAATAGCCAAGCTGACAAGTGTAGTCCTTTAAAATTAAATATACTTCCTCCATCTACTTGGAAAATGGCTTTATTTTCTAACTTTAATAAACCGAGCCTAAATTAATGTTTGCCAAACCAAGCTAATTAGTTTTGCATGATTAGATTTATGTCGAAACTTCGTAATTTTTTTCGAAATTTTTGGAATGTTGCACCCTGTTAATTTTATAAGGTTATTAATGTATGAAATAATGATCTTCTTTTAGCCTTCAAACTGCATTGTATGTCATCTTCTTGCTGTTCTTGACAAATTCTTTGTTGTACGGCTCAACCAAACTGGACCCAACCCAGTACAGGGGTGCAGCAGATTTATGGTGTGGATTTTGTGAGGTTGTCACTCTTGTCATGGTTGTCTTTTACATATGTGAAGAAAACAATCAAATGAGAATGTAAGTGGAATGTAATGCAGACGAATAGCTGAGATGCTATGTCAATTACCTAACTCCTATTGCACCCCTGAACCCAAGGCATAGATTTAAATTGAAACATTTTGTGTTTTAAGGTTATTTTATGAAAGCATTATTGGTTTTCCAATGTAGTAGCCCACTTGGGATGTCACAAGAACGTGAGAAAAGTCTCTAATCATTCACCTCTAGCTCATGTCTTTCAAACTTTTCCTGCACCAGTCTTCCAACTTCCTGTGTGGGTTATTTAATGCAGATTAACTGATAGAAAGTGCAGCCTATTGCATTATATACAGTTGGACTGAGTTTTTTTTTTAAATGATTGAATATGTACGTAGTTCAGTCCTCAGTTTAGCCTGCAGAGTAGGTGTAATTTGAGCGAGCAAGTGCTCAGTATTTTCTTAGCTAATAAAAGGCTGCCATCTTTGATTTTAATGGCAGCGGAAGGCTGGGGAGAGAAAGTAATTTGTACCAAGAGGGTGAGTGAAGGTCAACAATAAGGTGAGGGGCTGGGGTAGGGGAGTGAATGCACTCTGACTCCAAAATCAGATAAACGATCACGAGCTTATAACCTTAACTCGCCCGGATAAGACGCTTGCACTGCAGGCTATCCTCAAGTGCAAGAGTTTCCGGAAGGAAAAAAAAATTATGTAAGGAAATGTGCCATGTATGTACTGCATGAGCGTTTTTAAAACAAAAACCAAAGTTAGTGTCCCTGAATATGCTGTCCCAAAGGAGAAGATCCAACAAAGTGCTAAATCATTTTTGCTTCCTATTTTTAGAGAAAGGTATGCATACTTCTCTGAGTGGATGACCCTGTTTGACTGGTTAGGCCTGTTGTTGGTCCTGTGTATAATTCCCTTACGGTTCACAGGCAGCAAAGCTCAGTGGACAGTTGCATCTTCAGCTCTCTTGTTTAATTTCCTGAGGATTTTTAAGTTCTCATGTGTGACAAGGTGAATAACATGAAAAACCTTTGATTTAAAGTTTTTGATAACATGGTTCATTTCGGAAACAAATAAACAACGTTCCCAGGACTTTCATTTTGTATCGATCTACACTAGCCAATCAAAGTGGCTGCGAAATTCTGAGGTCAAGGATCGGTTCCTAGAGGTGGCATTTTTTTGTCTCTCTATTTCCCTTTTTTATTATTTCTCTTCTTGAAAATCATTTATTTATTCTTATTTGACAGAAACGTCACAATTTATCGTACAGTAATCAGTATCTAAGAGGTCATTTACCGAACGCGAAGCGCAGGGTTTTTCTTTAAGCTTTTCGGTTTTTTTTTCTTTTTTAAACGGAAGGTTTTAGTCATTCCAGAGTACAATTTATCGTCAGCTGTCAAGCAGTATACTTAACCGAGCAGTTTTGATTCAAATTAAGCGGCCAGTTTATTAATCATACTTAGACTTTCATCTTCTCCAGGACCACAGGACTATACACGAAAACACTGGCTAAGATCATTCAGCAAGACTTGACAAGATTCATGGCAGTTTTTGTTGCGATCTTCCTTCCATTCTGTGTAGCCTTGTTTTTATCTCTCCGCTCATCTAATCAAAACCAAGAATTAAGGTGCATCTGGTTGATTTATATACGTCTCATTTCTTCTTGTCTAAGTTTAACTCAAATGATTTAAGTTATTTTGCGGAAAAAATGTGTAATGCTTTTAGCTTGACAATTTTGAAAACACTCGTTCAGCTTTGGAGAGATACAGTGCAATTTCCAGTAAGACTAACTTAGTCTGCTCAACGTGGAAATATTGCGAAATGTTGTTTACGTTATTTTAAATGTATTCTTTACATTTAGTGGCTTTGGAGATGTATTATTAAGCGGTGTTCGTGCCCTGTCCGAACAACGACCCTTTGTAGCAGATTATTCAAGCTTCAAGTGAGTGACTCTGTTTTAAGTAACTGGTAGTAACTAAAAACCCGTGCTCATAATGGTGTTATATGCAATCGTACGTTACCCCATGCTATACAATATTAATCCCTCCGATCTTGCTCTTTACCCTTTGTATGCCGTAGGGAAACGAGTTGGGGAGCGGGGAGCAAACTTGTTTTACTGCAGGGGGCGAACTCGCGAAGGTACCGGTGGAAGGCGCGAACTTGCAGTAGAGCAAAACCCTCAGTTACCACAGTATGCTTATACCGTTCAAAGCTTTGAGAATCTTTGTTTTCTTGCAGTTGGCTCTCCATGCTGTTAATGCTAATGTACATGGGAACTGTACTTGTGATTCTGCTCAACATACTCATAGCACAGATGAGCACGACCTACATACAGGCCAAGAAAGTCGCCCGTCTGGAGTATGATGTGGATCGTATTTTACAGCTCACTCGCATGGAGAGATTTCCTTTTTTGGTACGTAGACGGAAGGCACGGAGATCATGTTTTTAAGAACTGAGTACACTGTAGGTGTAAATGTCGTGCAACGCGTCCGAATACTAAAAGAATACAAAAGGGGGGGAGGGGGAGAAGGAGGAAAATTGTTCTTTAAATTCAAAAACGAAAGATATTTTCTACAGTAGGATTCAATTTATTTTAAATTTGCCAAAGAAAACTACCAGCTTTTAAACAAAACGGAGTGCATGGCTTGGGTACCACGACCTGTTGTTCTCAGTATTCTTGCTAGAAAAGGCCTCAGGAGGGTAGAGTGTGTGACAAGATACCTACGCTTGAGGCAGTTAAACTCAGCAAAAACAGTTTCTCACAAGCGAAGTTTTTACTGAATTTTTACTGCTAAATTATAGTGATGAATCGAATGGCCAATTTTGCTTCTATTATTTTAATCAGCTCATAACGTTCAATGTCAGTTCAGAGTATTTATTAATTAAGTAAGAATCTTAATTTCTACTGAGTTCCTTTTTGCGGATACTCACTTATCTTATTATCTTCGGTGCAGAATTTGCGCGTGAAGTATTACAAAGAGGGAGAGTGGATCAGTGAAAAGAAACTTGCGGAAGGTTTGTAGTCATTTAAATCCCCTTAAATTTCACAATGAGATGGATTGAAAAGCTGGAACAAAGGCTGTGGATGAGCATTTTGTCCGAGAGTTTGTTGGATTGATATCTAGCATGGAAATCGTTTAACGTATTATCCTCAGGTAATAAATTCGATATCAGAAATTCGACCCGAAAGCTCTTGTAAAATGCTTACTTACACGATAAGTCCCAAACGAAATTATGCATGTCCTTGTTCATATTCTAAGTAGAAAACAGATGAGGTCTGGAAGAGCTGGTCGTGTGACCACTGAAAGTTATTATTCTCTCTTTCAATCTAATGGTTTACTTACGCAGTTAAAAAAAACTGAATAATTTACAGAGCTTCTTGAGTTCAGTGAAGATCGCAATCCTTGGGAATCAGTGGAAGAAAAGCTTAACGCGATTAGGTAAGGAT